CCGGCTCCGCGGGGCCCACGCGAGGACCAGAGGCCGGGCCGGCGCACGCAACCGCCTCACGGGTTAGTCGGGGTCCAGCAGCCGTGCTTTCCGGGTAGAAAAAAAAAATGCCACCGCCAACGATGCCGTGACCTCTGACCCCTGGCGTCCGACGGCAGCGCGACCGGGACAAGATTCCTCCGTTGCGGGCGGCGGAGACCGCGCCTCCTGATTGGATCGTGTGAGGGGCTGGAGCGTGAATGCGTGGACTATGCGCATGCACGCGTGGAGTGTGTGACGTACGTTTGTGTGTCTGTGTTATTGTGCGTGTGTGGTGCACGGACGTGGCTCTTTTTATGGGTCTGTGCACGTGTTTCGTGTGTTGCGCGTGACGGGTGGGAGTTAGGGCTGTGTGTCTCTGTGCTCATGTAGGAATCACTGCTGATGAAAGTATAATTGGATGCTGTCACTTTGTAGAATAAATTGAAGTGGAAGATATACATCCTCCCTGAAGAATATATTACCCTGGAGAAACACTTGTACATCTGAACAAGTAGACCTAATGTTTATAGCACCATTTATTTATAATCACGAAGAATTAATTGAGGGGGCACATGCCCATACAGTACAATGTAAAAATAGATTTTGGTATATTCATATGTAATCGAATACAAAGAGCAGTGAAAATTATTGGAAACAGCTGACACAACAGTGGGGCTCAACCTCAGGATGTAATATGGTAGGGAAGCAAATCACAAAAAGATATACTGCAGCATAATCCCATCACACAAAATTCCAAAACATGCTAATCTAATACTCTTGGAGATACATACCTAAGTGGTAGGGCTCTGACAAAAAAAAAAAAAGCATGAGAAAAAAAGAGGCACAAAGTTCATGTCACAGCTTCGGATTAATATGCATTTAAAGAAAGAACATTTGGTCCTGGCAAGTAGCTCAGTTGGTTGGAGCATTGTCCTGATGGAACCGGACAGGGCACATTCAAGAATCAACCAATGAATGTGTAAATAAGTGGAACAACAAATTGATTTTTCTCTCTCTCTCTCTCTAATCAATAAATAAAATATGTAAAAGAAAGTAAGAAAGAACATTCAACAAACCACCTACCCCAGCCCCCACTTGATTGGTTGATCTAAACACATAGACTGGGCTTTCAGAATGAGACCCTACTGATGACAAAGTGATAAGAGAAATATTCCACTTCAAACAGTGGTCCCGTCCATCCACCCCTCTTACTTTTCAAACCAGGAGAAAATGATCAGACACCTCCCACATCCCACCTGTTAACCCCAAAGTAGGTGCCACCAGAATTTCAGGTTAATTCTTAATGCTTAGATGAAATGCCTCCAGATTTAAGAATGCTTACCAGTCTTTTGGCTGCCACCCAGATCCAAAAAATTAGATACCTGTCAGCTTCATTGACTTTTTATTAAGGGAGCAAGCGTTCAGCAGGCGTGTACTTCTGTAGAGGAAATTTAAACCAGACACCCAGCCCTGCAGACAACTCATTATTTTTTTAAGAGGGGCAGGCCTCAGAACCGTCCAAGGGGGCGACCCTATCCCTACAGGTCCCATTCTGCATTGGCATGCACAGAGAGGTTGCCCAGGAAATTCTGCTCAGAGACAGCTGTGTCACTTTTCTTAATTTAATTATTTTATTTATATATTTTAATTTTTATTAAAGTACAGTTGGCATACAATATTATATTAGTTTCAGGTGTACCATAGTGATTCAACATTTATATACCTTACAATGTGATCACCACACTAAGTCTAGTAACCATCTGTCACCATGCAAAGTTATCACACTATTATTGACTATATTCCCCTTCTCCTTTTTTACCCATTCTTCCACCTCTGCCCTCTGCAACCATCAGTTTGTTCTTTGTTTCTAGGACTCTGTTTTAGTTTTGTTTGGTTTGTTCATTTGTTTTATTTTTTTTAATTTCACATGTTAAGTGAAATCATACCGTATTGTCTTTCTCTGTCTGACTTATTTCACCTAGCATAATGCCCTCTAGTTCCATCCACATTGTCACAAATGGCAAGATTTCATTCTTTTTATTGCTGAATAATATTCTAATTCCGTGTTGTATAGTAATTTGGATAGCTTTTGTTTTTATAGTCTTAAAATAATTTTTCTAATTTTCTAGTTATAAAACAACCATAATATTAAGTTTAAAATTTTAGAAAATATTGAAAAAAAATTAAAACCACCTGCAATCCTCAAATCCAATGGTAACTACTGATAAGATTTTGCTGCATTTATTCCCCTTTCCCCCCCTCCCCCTTTTTTCCCTAGCATTGAATGGGATTTTAAAACAAATTTGGAACTATGCTTAATATTATCCTAGGATAGTTTTTTGCATAATTATCCTTCAATTTAAACATTCCCCTCTGCAACAATTTACACTGAAATTTTTCAACTTTGGTGGTCGATATTTTTACATAAAATTTTATTGTGTTTACTACTATTTTCTTAGCATTGTTTGCTAGAAATGAGATTACTGTGTCAAAAAGTAAAAAACATTTTTTGTTGTTATTCCTCACCCAAGGATATTTTTCCATTGATTTTTAGGGAGAGTGGAAGAGAGAGGGAAAGATAGAAACATCAATGTGAGAGAGACACATCGATTGGTTGCCTCCTGCACGAGCCCTGACCAGGGCCTGGGCCAGTGAGGAGCCTGCAACCAAGATACATGCCCTTGCCCAGAATCGAACCCAGAACCCTTTGATCCACAGGCCTATGCTCTAACCACTGAGCAACCAGCTAGGGCCTTTAAATTTGAATTTTATGCATTTTTAAATGATAGAAATGTTTTCTAATTTTTTTATTTGAAAAAGTACTTTCCACTTATATTTGTACTCTGATAACATTTTTTTGTGGGGGGGGGGGGTAAATGTTTATTCCTACAAACATCTTAGCAAAATCACCTGGGGAACTTTTAAGAAAACAAAAGCTGCTAAAATCATGTACAACGTATTGTCCATAAAGCACATCCACTTTAGGTAATAGTAACCTCAAGAAAAGACCAATCTTAGAGTAAATGCCATAATTCAGCCCGGAGAAGTGGTTTGAAAAAATTCTACATGCGACTAATGAGCTATTTTGATATTTTAATGCTTTATAGAGATATAACTCATCTTAAAATTCATTCTTTTTTTTTTTTTCAGAGAGGGAGAGAGAAAACTGGTAAAACAATGATAAGAGAGAATCATTGATTGGTTGCCTCCTGCACACAACCCAGGCATGTGCCCTTGACCGGAATCAAACCTGGGACCCTTCAGTCCACAGGCCAATGCTCTATCCGCTGAGCGAAACCGGTCAAGCCAAAATTCATTCTTTTTTTTTTTTCAAAATTCATTCTTTAAAGTGTACAATTCAGGGACTCTTTCCCCCTCCCCACGTGGGAGTCTGTGCTGTAAGATTATTTCCCCTTCCCCACGTAGGAGTCTGTACTTGTTCTTCAATAAAATGTCCTTTGCTTACCAAAAAAAATAATAATAAAGTGTACAATTCAGTGTTTTGTGTATATTCGCAACGTTGTAAAACCATTATCACGATTTAATTCCAGAACATTTTTATCATCCTGTACTCACTAGCAGTCACTCCCCTTTCTCTCCTCCACCCAGTCCCTGGCACAATAATCTACTTTCTGTCTCTATAGATTTGCCTGTTTTGTACATTTTATATAAATGGAATCATACATTACGTGATGATTCCATTTATATAAATGGTATTTTGTTTTACTTCTTTATCACATAGTGTAATGTCATCCTTGTTATAGAGTGTATCAGTATTTCCTTCTTTGTATGGCTGATTAATTTTCCATTGTTTGATGGAATACTACTCTGCCATAAGAAAAGATGAAATACTGCCATTTGCAACAACATGGAGGGACCTTGAGAATATTATGCTAAGTGACATAAGCCAGGCAGAAAAATCTAAGAACCATATGATTTCATCATATGTGGGATATAACACTGAAACTCGTGGACACAAACAATAGTGTGGTGGTTGCCAGAGGGAAGAGGGTGGGGAGGGTGAAGAGGGCCCAATATATGGTGATGGAAGATGATTTGACTTTGGGTAGTGGGCACAGTGCAATACACAGATCGTGTATCATAGAAATCCACATCTGAAACCTATATGATCTTATTAACCAATGTTACTCCAATAAACTTAATAAAGATTTGGACATCACCCATATGGTCATGGGCAGTCTTTTTCTTCAATCTAATAAAAATAAGGTTAATTCACACATAAAAATTCCATTTTTTTGTTTTTCTATTCATTCATTACTTGATGGGCTCTGGGTTGTTTCCATATGATTTAATAGATTTTAAAAATCCAACTTTTTATTTCAAGATAAACGCCAATTCACATGCAGGAGTAAGAAATAATAGGTTGAGATCCCATGTACTTTTCCCCCAGGTTCCCCCAATGGTAACATCTTACATTGTACAATACCACAACCAGGAAATTTACACTGAAACAATACACTGATTTTATTCAGATTTCACCAGTTTTACATAATATCATTTATGGTTTAACATTTATAGTTTACATGTGTAAACTTGTATAATTACCGTGATAGTCAAGATACAGAACAATTTCACATGAATAGGAACCATTGTGCTGCCCTTTTATAACAACACTCAGCTCCCTCCTCAACCCTTTCTGAATCCCTGTAAACCACTAATTTGTTCTCCATCTCTATAACTGTTTTATATATATAACATACACATATATGAAATCATACAATATGTAACCTTTCTGGATTGACAATTTTTACTCAGTGCTTATCCTTTAAGATACATCCAAGACATTGTACCAATAGCTTATTCCTTCTTATTGAGTAGTAGTCTGTTGTATAACTGTACCACAATTTAACTATTCACCTGTTGCAGGATACGTGAATTGTTTCCACTGTGGGGTTATCATAAATAAAGGTGCTGTGAGCATTTGTATACATGCTTTTGTGTAAAACATACATTTTTCATTTCTCTGTGATAAATGAAATAAATGTTCAACAATGCAATTGGTGGGGTTTGTATGATAATTACATGTTTCGTTTTATACTAAGAAGAACCCAAACAATTTCCCAGAGTAGCTATACCAAGTTAGATTCCCATCAGGATTCTCCACATCCTTGTCAGCATTTCCTTCTGGCCTCCATGGTTTCTAATTAGAAATCCAATGTCATTAAATCTTTGCTCTAGACAACGTGTCCTTGTTGACTACTTTCAAGACTTTTTGTTTGTCTTTAATTTTGAGAAATATGTGACATGTCTTTGAATAGTTTTATGGGGTTCCTTCTGTTTGGGGTTCATGCAGCTTTTTATTATTATTATTATTATTATTGATTTCAGAGAAGGGAGAGGGAGAGTTAGAAACACCAGTGATGAGAGACAACCACCGATTGGCCGCCTCCTGCACACCCCACATCGGGGACGGAGCCCACAACCCAGGCATGTGCCCCCGACCGGAATCAAACTCAGGACCCCTCATTCCGTATACCGATGCTCTATCCACTGAGCCAAACCAGCTAGGGCATCATGCAGCTTTTTGAATCTATAGATTTATGCTGTTGGCCAAATTTGGTCAACTTTCAGCCACTATTTATTTAAATTTTTTTTAGCCATAGTACTTTTCTTCTCTTTCTGGGACTCCAACGACAAGAATGCTAGATCTTTCATTATTGTTCCAGAGATCCCTCCTAAGGCTACACTCAGTTTTTAATTTCAGTCTATTTCCCCCCTGCTGATCAGATTAATTTCTATCTTTAGTTCACAAATGCATTCCTCTGTCATTTCCATTCTGATATGGAGCCCAATAGTGAGGTTTTTAAAAAAAATTCAGTTATTATAATTTTCAGTTCTAACATTCCCTTTTGGTTCTTTTTTATATCTGATTATTTTGCTGGAGTTTTCTGCTTTTTATTTCAAGCACATTCATCTTTCTCCCTGATGCGGTTTTTTAAAATGATAGTGTCTTTAAAATTCTTGCCAGATAATCCCAACACGGGTCATCTTGAATAGAAGTGGTGAAAACAGGCAACCTTGTCTTCTTCCTGGTCTTACAGGAAAAGCTTTGTCTTTCACCATATAGTTTTAGCTTTGGGATTTTTTTATACACTTTACCCTTTAATAGTTGTGGTAGTTTTCTTCTATTTCCTTCAATTTTGTTATTTAACAAAATTTTCTGTATCAATTGAAATAATCATTATGTTTTCCTTTCATTGTCAATGTGATATTGCATGGATTATCGAATGTTGAACCATTCTTGCATTCCAGGAATTCCTTTTAGTGTGTGGTTGAATTATATTTGCTAATACTTTGTTCAGAATTTTTTGCATCTATATTCATCAGGGAAATTGGTCTCTAGTTTTCTTTTCTTGTAATGTCCTTATCTAGGTTTAGTGTCAGCAATTCAGGCCTCATAAGAATGAGTTAGAAAGGTTTTTTCTCTTCAGCTGTTTATTCTTCACCAATAAAGTCATCCTGACCTGGGCTAAAGCAATGATTTTTAAAATTCTATTATTTTTTCTACATTTACTAAGCATTTTTCTGTGAAGAAGGCTTTTCCTCCATCAATTAGGTGTCAACTATAGTCCTTCCCAAATGGGTTGGTATGATAACCTCCAATATGTGAGGGTTGGTTTTTTTGTTTTTTTTTTCATTAAGAAAAAACCCCCCACAGTATTTACTTAATGTTTTTCACAATTAAATGCTGTTTCTTTTGTTCAAGCTGTCCCAAATTTGGCCAGTGGGAACCCTTTCAAGCTGATTCGTGTTCTATTGAGATATTCCTATTAGTCTTAAAGTACTTTCTTACTTCCTGACCATAAAAGATATTTCTCACACCATTTCTTCCCCATCCACAGCCCTAGGTTCAGCCTTTTCTCCAAAGAGCACACGAGATCAGGGGTGGGCATTAGATATGTCCCTGCCCCCCACTGACCAAGATGCAGCTCCCAGCCAGCTATCCACAAGATGTACCATCATGCTCTGCCCCAAGACACCACAGGCATGCACACTCAGCCTCAACTAAAGCTGAGTGTCCAGCCCTGGTTAGACTGGTCACTGGGTGGGAGTGGGGAGACCAAGAAGTCATCCTGCGGGGTGATAGGAGGAGGTTTCAAGCCCTTATCCCGTCACCCTGCCACCATGCTTCATCCCATCAGCCTTCACTTAAAAGCACAAATTCAAATAGAAAATTATTAAGAATTCCAAGATGGCAGACAAAAAATTAAAGCCCTAGCACAAGGACCTTCTGAGCACAGGACCCTATGCAACCACAGAGGCCCTGTGTATTTCTCTCTATTCTTTTGTTTCTTACTCAATTTTGTAATTTCTTTTCATATAAATCCCAAAAGCTCTTGTTACTTCCAGGTGATTTATATGTGTATCTATTATGAATAAATTTTTCCCATTATATTTGCTAAGTGGCTAGTAAGGAGATAAGAAAAGTCATTTTGTACAGTTACTTTTAATGGCTATTTTAACATTTCATATCGCATAACTTTAGTGAAATTTAATAACAGTTTCAATATCAATTCTCTTAGGTTTTCTACATAGAAAAATCACCTACAAATAATAGCTATCACTTAAGCACGGTAGTGTTCTGAGTCATTTAATCCTTACAACAACCCCTTGAAGCTTGTTCTATTATTATCCCACTTCACAGAAGAGGTATGTGAAACACGAGAGACTTGCCCAAGGTCAAAGAGCTGTAAGGTAAGTGGCAGAGTCAAAATTCAAAACCAAATTCAAGCCTTCTAGCTCAAGTTCATGTCCTCAACCACCAGGTTATAACAGCTCTATATTAGACTAACTCCTTTCCCCTCTACCTTTATTTCTGCTTGAAGACTGAGTATCTTGGATGAAACTTTCAGAACAGCATTAAATGTAGTGATACAAACATCCTTCTCTTGCTATTTTTCACCCCGCTGGATGTCTCTAATTTTTCAAAGTATGACAATGATGTCTGTGGCTTAAAAGGAAAACCTTTTTAATGTGAAAAACATTAATAGTGTACATTTTCCTAAGATGAAGAACCAAAAATCAGTTTGGAAAAGGAATGGATCATGAAATTTTATTGATAAGGACTTCTGTTCCCAAGGTTTATTCTAATCACATTTATAGTACATGAAATAGCAATACTTTCTGGTTGAGAAAACAGAAACTCTGGCCATAGTATTGATGCTTAAGAGAAATATAAGCCTCTACCTAAGGCAAGAGTCCACATCTGAAGAATTCAACCAATATGACATATACAAAAAAGTCAATTCAACATATTGCCTTAAGATATGTAAGAAATCCAAAGAAGACTGCTTCAGTGGGAGGCTGATATACACATTTCATTTAACAGACATAATGTACAATGACTAAAAGAACTATATATTCCCAGAAAAATTAAGAGTGTGCATATCTGGGTTAGCACCTAGAAAGTACATAGAAAATAAAACAGAAAAACGGAGAAAAGCTTTGTGTGAAAATCGTTTGGGCCCACGTTTCTAAGAGCAAGTTCTCATTCATATTTGACAGTAACTCATTCCATTCCATAGGAACTTGGTGATCAGCTGACTCATGTCTTCAGTGCTTTATGACAACAGACTTGTCAACTTGACGAATTTTATATGTAAATTTAAGGATAAAAAGTTTTATATGCACCCTAGTTTTATTCCAAAATTACTGACTACAAATTTGTGGTACATTATTAGCAAGATATTTGGAAAACAAAGGAAACTTTCTTTACTGCTTGTGTGATGTGATCTGGTTCAAGAATGGTGCCCTGGGAATTACTCACAATTTCACAGGTACACTGATAATTTGTAGAAATGATTGCTGGGAAGGAGTATCATAAGCGGCATATTTAAGTTATAAAAGGCTCCATTAGAATTAGGAGAAGTTTTGCATGGATGGTGACGGTAAAGCCTCACTGGAAGAGAGGTCAGTTAACAGTATAGTGTGCACTTCATGCAATATTCTTTGGTTACAGCATATTATCCACCGGCAGAACTACCTTGCTTACAATATAGACAAGTGGTTCTTAATTGGGGGCAATTTTGCTCCCCACCCCCGGTAACATTCGGCAATGTCTACGATGATTTTTCGCAACTGGCGGGGGGGGGGGGGGGGGGGGGGCTGTTGCTACTAGCATCTAGTAGGTATAGAGGCTAGGGATGTTGCAGCCCCACAACAAAAACTCCTCGGGCCCCAAATGTCAATAGTGCTGAAGTTGAGAAACCCAAAAAGAGTTTTATATGACATGTGTCTGGGTTGTCCATAAAGTCAAAAGTACACTATGGAGGCAAAAGGTCACCTGCACTTTATAGCTCTGAGACCTCCCCGTCAGCTCTCATCAGCAGAGTCCTGGTCCCTGCTGTCCTTTGACCCAGAGCAAGGTCTCCTTTACATCAAAGAGCTCAATAAATATTTGCTGAATGGATAGAGGAAAGAGGTGTGAGAAGCATGGCTCAAAGCCTTCAACTGAGTATACTGAACAGTGAATTAAACTTAAAATTATCCTGAACCTCAATGGTGTCATAGTCTCTGACTATACAGGACCTTAAAATCAGGGTTACCATAGTGTCAAAAATGGAGTCAACATTTTAAGGGAAGTATGTCTAAAAACTTCTACATTCACTGTAGTGGGGCAAACCAAGTAAAATGGTGTTAAAGGCAAACATTCAATACACCATTTTAAACCCAAAAAATGAACATATGAAATGCCATGCACAGCACACACCATTCCTTTTTTTTCTTTTTTTACATATTTACAATTTTATATACTTACTTATCAATATATCTTCTATCTTTACAATTATAAAATTATTTTAAATTATAGAATAGTGGTACCATTAAATTCCCTTAAACATACATTTTGTAGCATTCATTTGTTTTACCCTTTAAGAGGCAATTATTTACCCAAATCTAAACCACACTGAATACCACGTGGAAGCACATAGGAAAATCGTGGAGAAAAAATAGATTTAGACAAAAATTTCACACAAGCCTTAAATGAATCTATTTCAGTAACTCAAATAAATAGTATTTTATTATTTACTAAGCTTCCCCTGCCAGGAAAACAAAACAAAAACAATCCCCACAAACTGTACCTTGAAAAATGCTCTGACACTTAGAAGCAATTAAGTTATATTCTATATCTCAATCAGTGGACTGTAGTAAGGACTAGCTACAATTTAGGCTCAAATAAATACTATCTGTACATTTTCATCATCCTGCATATACTTGAGGTTGCAATGGTGGAGGAAGTTTGTCATTTTCAACATTTTCAGAGTCAATAGCTGCTAAAGACTGATTTGGGGGCTTAATTTCAAGTGGACATTTCTCAACAATGTCTTGGACCTTTTTTGCAATTCCATCAGTCCAATCTATTAGGTCTTTTTCAAGTTTCTTGGCTTCATTCATAATCCTTTCCTGTCGTTCATTCAATTGAGACAGGAGATCCAAGTTCTTATACATTTGCTTAACACCTAAACAAGCATCAGGAGACCAATTCTCAGATTCTTGCTTTCTGGGAGAAGTCTGGCCAGACATGTATCGATCAAAGTCTTCCTGACTTAAATTCAAAGACTGAGCGTCTAACTTCTCGATGAAAGTCACAGCACAGCACTACAAAAAGAAAAGAATGTTATTATAATCATAAGAGCAAAGCCACAAATATTAAAACAGATTTTTAAAAATCCTTTCATTATGGAGAATTTAAAACTGAAGCAAAAGTAGATAAAACAGTCTAATGAACCTCCATGGACTTCATCTTCAAAAACTATCAACACATAGCCGATCATGTTTCCTTTATGCTCTCATCTGAAACAGTACATTTCTTCCTTAAAAAAACAAAAAAACAATTAAATCTAATTGCCAACTCCCATTGAGCCTGTCAGAAATTCAATTCTCTACTTAGGTTGTTCAAAGGTGCTACAATCTTGAACAGAGTGAAGTACTGAGGAGGCACCTTCAATGCTGGTTCCACCCTGGCTGCTACAGAGCTTCCTACAGGCTTTCTGCTTCTCTGTAGGACAGAGGAATCCTTGTTGAGGACAGGAGCTCCAGGGCCAAGTACCTGGGGGCACACCCCATAAAACCATTTTGTTTTGGGGTCTTGCGAGCCCCACAAGGCCTACTTGGGCATGGCCAGACATTGGGAGCGTCCTCAGGGACCCCTGTGGCACACAGACCACCAGTTCCCAAAGAGATATTTTAAATCACATGTTAAAAGGACAAGTTTGTTTGTTTTTTTGTTTTGTTTTGGTTAATCCTCACCAGAGGATATTTTTCTATTGATTTTTAGAGAGAGTGGGAGGGAGGAGGAGAGACAGAGAGAGAAACATTGACAGGTTGCCTCCGCACACTTGGGGCTGGGAGGAGCAAACCCACAACTCAGGTACACGCCCTTGACCAGAATCGAACCCAAGACCCTTCAATCTTTGGGCTGACGCTCTTATCCACTGAGCCCAACCAGCCAGGGCAAAAGTACAAGTTTTAAAACCAGACAACCTGAGTTGTCACCTCTGTCACTTGACAGCCAAGAGTTGTGTGATCCTAGGAAAATTACCTAGGCTCTGTGAGGTTTCCACATGAGTAAAATGGGGGAAATATCAGATTTACTGTGAGAATTAAACACCATAACACATGTAATGTGCTTAGCTCATAGATCTGTAGTAAGCAATGAATAAATGGCAACAATTGTTAGTATAGAAATGCTAGGACAAACACTCAGTGAAACAGACTTCCATCAGTTACACATTCTTATATTGATTAAATTTTTCTACAATGAGCACGCACCATTTTCGCATTTTTTGTAAAAATGCTATTTTTACAAAAATATTCACCCGAATCTGTAAAAAAAAAAAATCCTCACCCAAGGACATCTTTTTACTGATATTTAGAGAGAGAGAAAGGGGGAGAGAGAGAGAGAGCTATCGGTCAGTTGCCTTTCGTATACCACCTGAAGTAGGGACTGAACCCAGTATAACTTTTGACTCCCCCAAAAGTTAACTACTAATAGCCTACTGTTGACCGGATGCCTTACTCATAACATAAACAGTTGATTGATAAATATTTTGTATGTTATATGTACTGAATACTGTATTATTATAATAAAGTAAATCACAGAAAAAGTATTATTAAGAACATAATAAGACTGGCTCAGTGGTTGAGCATCGACCTATGCACCAAGAGGTGACTGGTTCTATTCCCAGTCAGGACACATGCCTGGATTGTAGGCTCAATCCCCAGTAGGAGACATGCAGAGGTAGCCGACCAATGATGTTTCTCTTTCAACGTTGTTTCTATCCCTCTATCCCTCCCCCTTCCTCTCTTTCTAAAAAAGAATCAATGAAAACACAATTAAAAAAAATTTTTAAAAACAAAATCAGCCCTAGCAGGTTTGGCTCAGTGGATAGAGCATTGGCCTGCAGACTGAGGGTCCTGGGTTCAATTCTGGTCAAGGGCACATGTCAATAAAATATATAGAGTTTTTAAAAATCACACTGGCCCTGGCTGGTTTGGCTCAGTGGATAGAGCGTCAGCCTGCATACTGAAAGGTCCCAAGTTTGATTCCAGTCAAGGGCACTTGTCCGGGTTGCAGGCTCCATCCCCAGTAGTGGGCGTGCCGGAGGCAGCCGATCCATGATTCTATCATCATTGATGTTTCTTTTTTTTTTTTAATATATATATTTTATTGATTTTCTACAGAGGGGAAGGGAGAGGGATAGAGAGCTAGAAACATCGATGAGAGAGAATCATCGATCAGCTGCCTCCTGCACACTCCCTACTGGGTATGTGTCTGTAACCAAGGTACATGCCCTTGACTGGAATTGAACCTGGACTTGAGTCCGCAGGCCGACGCTCTATCCACTGAGCCAAACCAGCTAGGGCATCATTGATGTTTCTATCTCTTTCTTCCTCTCCCTTCCTCTCTGAAATCAATAAAAAAATATTTTTTTTAAAAAAGAAAACTATAAGGAAGAGAAAATATGGTTACAGTATTTATTGAAAAAATCTGCATATAAGTAGACCTGTGCAGTTCAAACCCATATTGTTCAAGGATCAACTGTATACAGAAAAGAAAAAAGACATCTGATTGGGAAGCAGTTTCAGTTTTGAACAAATTAAATCTGAGGCACAACAAATAGCTGGAAGTGGAGCTCAGCATGAGGTCAAAACAGGTGACACAAACCTGTACAGGTGACCAGCAGAGCTGTGACCAGAGGAGACAGCCTAGGGAGAGGGATGCACAGAGGACAGAACCCCAGGGAGTGACACAACTCAAGAGGAAGTAGAGGACACAAAGCCTACAAAGAGACAAGAAGGGGTGGAATTGTAGAAGCCAAGAAGTTCCAGAACAAAGGAGCCATCAAGAATGTTAAAGAAGTAAGATGAAGACTGAGAGTTCCCCAGGGGATTTGTCAACTGGCAGATTTTTTACTTTTGCCAGAGCATTTTGATTGGAAAAGTGAGCATAGAAGCCGACTCTGAGTCCAGCAAGAACAGGATGAAGAAAGAAGGTGCAAACATAGTTAAGGCTGTAGGTCAAGGCACGGGGAAGCTGCGCAGTATAGGAGAACCAGCAGCCTCCAGTTTCAACAATGAGGGCCCCTCAAATACCTCCTGGTCTTGCTTCATTTCTCCTACTACCATGTCTCTCCATCTCTATTCTTCTCAGGATTTTCAGATCATCTAATCCTCTCTACATAACAACTGACTCCAAAAGGCTCTTTCTTCTTTAGTACTCCAGTGCATGCTTCCTTTATGTTAAGAAATAGTGCTCCAAATAAGGAAGCAAGCATCATTTTGAAATAGTCCCAAATTCTTCCACTTACAAACCACACTTCCCAGATGCTGGCACTACAGTGACAGGTAGGGGAACACAGTGGCTGAGGGTGATACTTAACAAGGGCAATCCAGGTTTTGAGGGACCTGAAGCTTATACGCTTTTGGGAACTCATTTAAAGGGAAATAAATAAAAGATGAACACAAAATTAGGTACAAAAGTGAATACGTATCTATATACATAAAAGACTAATATGCAAATTGTCCCTGCGGGATTTCGACCGGGAGACCAATCTCTCACTATGACATGTGCTGACCACCAGGGGGTGGCGTGGAAAGAAGGAAGACCCCGGCTGGCAGCCAGCAGTTGGGGAAGGGAGGTCCCAATCGGCCCTGATCTCCAGCCAGGCCTAGGGACCCTACCCTTGCACGAATTTCGTGCACCAGGCCTCTAGTGTAAAAATAAATCTCAACAAATTTTGGGAGGCTTGGAGATTCCTTACCCTGGCTTCCTCTCCTTACCTATTACCCTGTACAACTTTCAGAACAGGAAACAAAGCACTTACAGTGCTGAGGTTCAAGTTCATTGTTTGACAGTATATCTTGTCCAAGCAAACACACAGAAGTTTAGTCGTCAGTAAAAGGAATTATTCTGCCTTATAACTTAGATATATATATTTCAATCTTGTCCTGCCTAGAATTAATTAGCACTGTAGCAAAACAATAGTTGAAAATCATTTCACATTCTCTAAACTGACCCTTTCTTAAAATATCTTAGTTTTCAGTTCTAAGTGGTAACTTGTAGAAATACAACAAAAATAAATCTTTTAATAAAGGAACCAAAGCCTAGGATCTGACTTATTCATGGTTGAAACAAGCCATGTAAGTGAATGGCTCTTATACCCAGGACTCTGGGGAATGATGGACCAAAGCAGCAGACTCCTCAATGTGGTTATCATGTTTCCCATACAAGCCCTATAATCTCTGGTCAAGTATTGGGAGGTGGAGTATTTGCATGGCCTGGTCACCTGTGCACTGTGGCACCAAGCAAACATCTGTAGTTATGTTGACTCCTCAACTCAGGAGCAATTAACATGTCGCAGGCCTATGAGTGACTGGTCATATCCCTAAACTCAATACCTTCATGGTGGTTCTCCATAACACCAAGAAATCACAAATACTCACCAGATTGGTGAAATAGTAGCCATCCTCTCCAGACATTAATCGGCTTGGGTTGCAGAAGCGGGTGATATACTGAATATTAGACTGAAGGCGTGGGGGGTTACCCTTCAAAACAATGTAAATGAGAGTGGGTAAGAAGTCATCGGCTGAAGCTGGCTCATCCTTGGTGATCTTGATGGCATTGAAGATATGCTTGCTACACTTGGTGATGCAGGCCAACTTATCTCTAGGCACCCGCTTCGAATCCATTTCAATAATATCTGTAAAACAGAAAACACAGTGCTTCCAATGAGAAAATAATTACATAAAAGAAGCATTAGGATAATCACTTTATCCTATTAAGTTGGCGAGGTAACCTCGCTAACCTCCTCTCACCAGTTAACTTAATGTATATAAAACTTAAATCGGCGGGGGGGGGGGGGTAAAACTTAAATCGGCCGTAGCTGGCTTGGGTCAGTGGTTAGAGTGTTGGCCCGAGGACTGAAGGATCGTGGGTTTGATTCCGGTAAAGGGCATGTACCTTGGTTGCAGGCTCGATCCCTGGCCCTGGTTGGGGCGTTGTGGGAGGCAACCAATTGATGTGTCTGTCTCACATCGACATTTCTCTCTCTCTCTCTGTCTTTCCCCCTCCCTTCCACTCTCTTTAAAAATCAATGGGAAAAATATACTTGGGCAAGGATTAACAAAAATAAATAAATAAAATAGATTGCACAAACAGTAAATACCAGTTCATACTTAGAGAACATGTGACCATGACCTAGCACTACACAGTATGCTCTACAAATTTCTTTTCATCCTCAGATGATGCAAGTGATACTTTTTTTAAAAAAATATTTTAAATTGATTTTGAGAGAGAAGAAGAAAAAGGGAGACAGAGATATAAACATCAATGTGAGAGCAACATTGATCAGCTGCCTCCTGCATGCTCCCTACTGGGGATCAAGCCCAAAACCTGGGCGTGTGCCCTGACCAGGAATCAAACTGGCAACCTTTCAGTGCATGGGACAACGCTCAACCAACTGAGTCACACAGGCTAGGGCAGGGATAATATTATTATTAAGAGAACTGAGGTTCAGAGAAGTTTAATGACCTGCCCAAGATCATACACATTGCAAGTAACAGAGGGGGGATTTGAAACCAAGTCTGACTCTAATGCCCATTCTTTTAATCATGATGTAAAACTACTTATGAATTTCATGGAGAAATAAGTCTCTTAATTACTTCTTAATGTATTGTAAAACTCAGTTTAGAAATCCTCAATTTGCATACTGCATTTTAGCAATGTGGCTACTATATGGTACAAAGCATCTTTGTATTAGATATCAAAATACAGCTGCTGAAACCCATCACACAGAGGTTCCCAGTGGCCAACCCTCACAGCATGTAAATCTCCACTAGCTACAAACATTTACAGAAACTTTAAGACACTTATAACCTGCTGTTAGCAAACGAGATAAATCAAGGGTATAAATTTAATCTCATAAACATTTTATTTCTCAGAAAAAAATTGCTTCACTGCCCTTCAATACCACTAAGTCCAACTGGTGGACTCTTTTTTTAAAATATATTTTTATTGATTTCAGAGAGGAAGGGAAAGGGAGAGAGAGATAGAAACATCAATGAAGAGAGAGAATCATTGATCGGCTGCCTCCTGCACGCCCCACACTGGGGATGGAGCCCGCAACCCAGGCATGTGCCCTTGACTGGAATTGAACCTGGGACCCTTCAGTTTGCAGGTCAATGCTCTATCCACAGAGCCAAAGCAGCTAGGGCCAACTGGTGGACTCTTATATGCACACACCCGTTGTCAGAGGACTAGGAGATAGTGAGGGAAAGTTAGGTACAAACTCAGTGCCAGAACAAGGGCAGGAAGTGTGCCTTTGGATGCACACATATGCTTGCCATCTTGAATATCATCAAAATAAACAGCTGAGGCAGCTGAATTTGATACCAGTTCTTGCCATGAGCAGGAATAAAAGTTTCAGACTTAGGTGACAGGGTGGTACAGGCCAGAGAGTTCTTTTTGCTCAGCTCCTATCCGTGAGGTAAGCTACTCAAGGGACCCTCACAGGACCATCAACCATGTGTCGAAGACAGAAACACCGGACAGTGCAGAGGCCTTACTTTAACTTACTAATGCTTTTATTCTCTTTACTTATGCACCTATATTGTGAAGTATATAATCTTCACTTTTTTTTATTATTAGTTCCTTTACTTTTTTATCTCTGGATTATAATTATTGTTACTATGTCTCAGTCTATTTTTCTTTTTCTATGTAAATAGAACTTATTACAAAAAAAGATACTGGGGAAGATATTTTTTATACTTTCAAAGCCTTTTATTGTTGATTTTTATTCTCTATTTTAAACATTTTCTCATTAATTTTTATTGTTTATGTTTTAAAGTAAATAAAAAATGAATTATTTTTTATCTGGATGCATGTGTAGCTGCCACTGCCAAGGGGCAGGGCCAAGAGTGTAAAGAAGAGTATATAATGGGGGGGGGGAGGTTGGGGGGAGTCCAAGGGATTTCTCCCACTCTCTTCATCCTGCAGCAACCCCTCCATCTCCTCCTTGAATATCATTCAGTTTAAAAGAAGTTTCTCTGTTGGACTCTTTTGGACACTCACACCACAGCATGCAGTTCTATGATTTGCACTGCCCTAAAGTCTAAACTAGGAGATGCAGGAGGAAAAACAAACAAAACAGGAAACTCGCCATTGTATTAGCTGTTCTTCTAGTAATGATTTCCCTCCCCAATCTGCCTGCTATTTACTTTTCACAGTTCTTGCTTTGGGTCTCCTGTCCCGGGCTTTTTCTTCTAATCAGTAGGAAAGGTAGGGTTGAGTGTGCCTACTCTATCTTAGCAGATGTCTAGACTTATCTTTAATGGAGTTTTGAAACAAAGTAGTCTGTACTTCTAGGTTATGTTTGACATTTGGGCTGGAAAATTCCATGTTGCAGGATTGTCCCGTACACTGCAGGATGTTTAGTAGCATCCCTGGCCTCCACCCACTAGATGCCAGATGTCAACTAAAATGGAAAATGCCCCATGCAGTGTATTTATAAACAAAAATGATAGTGCTGATTAGTAGCACATGGGATGACTTGGAGAAACTGAGCTGACATCTCTATATTTAAGAACTGTATTATTTTTAAAAAGGATGACTATTATAGACTGTCCTATAAATACTCCTGTACTTAGACTGACAATTTTAAAGATTAGGAAGAAAGTGATCATATAATCCTTGGTTCTCAAAGAGGCAGAATATTGCACTTGGATTGGCAAGATATCAAGGCTAAAATGAGAAAGAGTAAGAAGGTGTTTACAATTTTGTGGCTGAATTTTTACTATCAAAAGATCTCTTGAAACATCATCTCAGGTGCCTTGAAAGAAAATTTTTACCTCTCAAATTCTATTAACAAATGGTTGATGTATTGAAATCCTCTTTCTTAGTTCTATTTTTAAGTAAACAACAGTTGGGTACTTGCAGTTTCTGGTTTTGCAAGGTCTGTCCTGTGACTTTTCAGAAAAGAGTTCTCGACATAAATTCCTATGGAGTACTTTAAACATAAACCAGTTGGTCTTGAACTTGAGAAAAGTCTAAAAGGTGCACATTCAGGCTTTTGAGAGGCTGTCACCTTCAATCTCTTATAATGTTCCCTGAGCAAAAAGTAGGCCTTGACCCAAAGAACTCAATTCACTGGACCTATGACATAGCCTAGCAGAAAAGCTTTGAACAACAAAGATGACAGTATTTAGCTACATCATTTAGACTCTTCACGAGGAATTAAAAACAACAATTCATGTAATAACAAGAATTGAAATGCAGAGATAAGCAGAACCTGAGAAAGTGGAAAAGAATCATGTTAACAGTAGAGAGGCCTTGGAGCTGTTTCTAAGTCCTGCCTCCCTTCCAACCCTCATAATATCTTAAGCAAACCCCCATTTCTTCCTGTTACTTAAGGGAGTCTCTGGTTCTTATAATCAAAGGAGCCAGTCTACTTCATAGCCTGCCTCCAACACCACTACCGGCAACTGGCCTACTTTCCTACCCGGCAGAATTTCATTAACAATCTCTAAGTGAGCAAATCTTCCCAACTCTTCTTAATGAAGGAGAAGTTGTCCAAGATTGGATGTCTTTTCCATTAGGAGTTTTTTCGTTTCTTGTTTGTTTTTTAAATTTCTGTGTTGCACTTCTACTCAGTTATTCCTATGACTAAGAAACAGAAACCTTATTAGGTGCCTAGATCTATCCAGAAATGGCAGAACCACATCAATATAAGGCACTTCATATACTTTCTGAACAAACCAGAAGAGTAATTCAAAGCACATCTCTGATTAACAACCAATTAGAAGCATCATTTTAATATGTAACTCTAGTTTGGGTATGACCTTGCCTCACCAATTCTCTCCCTCTCTCCAAACTTCCTTTGAGTATATAAATGCAAATAAGCCCAGCTCAGTGGTTGAGCGTTGACCTATGAACCAGGAGGTCGTGGTTCAATTCCTGGTCAGGGCACATGCCCGGGTTGCAGGCTCAATCCCCAGTAGGGGGCGTGCAGGAGGCAGCCAATCAATGATTCTCTCTCATCATTGATGTTTCTCTCTCTCTATCCCTCTCCCTTCTTCTCTGAAATCAATAAAAATATTTAAAAAAAGAATTAATGCAACTGAATTTTAAGAAATTTATTCTATCTGTATTTGATCTTAGTTTAGTTCAATACCCAAGAAATAAGAAGCCTGGGTCCTGGAAAGTGAAGGGGAAAAGTAGTTTACCTGCTAATCAGAATGCTTTTAATTCATAAAACTAACACTCCTGGAAATCATGTTTACCACATTCCAATATGTCTTTGGCAGTCTGAATTTTAGAAATACTTTACTATCTTTTTGCTCTCTGAAATAAGTATGGGTTTCTAAAACATAGTGTTAACTTCAAGGGAAAAATATCCAAATATAAAAAATATATATATATAAGAAAAGTTTCACTGACCTGTAATTGCTTTCACTACCATATCAGACACTTCAGGAATTTCTTCATTAACAGGGACACAAAGCATCTGAGGTGTAACCCAGTGCAGGGCTCTACAAGAGAGAAAGACAGTAAAAAAAGTTCAAAGAATGGACTTTTTAGTGTGGCCAGTTGGTTAGAGCATTGACCAGAGGACTGAAGGGTCTCAGATTTGATTCCAGTCTACGTACCTTGATTGTAGACTTGATCCCTGACCCTGGTCGGGATGTGTGCAGGAGGCAACCAATCAATGTGTCTTTCTCACAACTACGTTTCTCTCGCGCGCTGTCTCTCCCCTCCCTTCCAATCTCTCTATAAAAATCAATGGAAAAATATCCTTGGGTGAGGATTAACAAAAAACAAACAGATTAAAAACAGAATGAACTGCAGCCATTTATCTTATCATTTCCATCAGTTACAAGAAAATAAGGGACACCATTGATTAATCGGGCAATTCTAGGCCCAACCACATCACCCCTGCACAGATCAGAAGCTCACAGTAACTAGAGTCCTACAGTGAGGCTTCTCTTCTGCACTAATCACAAGAAAAGCAGAAGACAATTTTACTGGCTGTAATGAGATTATACTAGGTGTGAAAGCACTAGATATCTGAGAATGAATAATTGTGAAGAACCTGCTGCTCCCTGTCCTGCCCACCACCATTAATGTCCTTGTAGGCTCTGTCCTCAACTTCTGGAGCATATCGGAGCTTGTGTAAGAGGTCAACAAGCATGTGTCACCTCAGCCTGAATCACTGAGTTCTCCGATCACATCGCAGCTTCACTCCAGAGATTCTGTTGCCTATGCCCACCATTTTCTTGACTAATGCTCTCACCCTGAATCTCAGTCCAAAGCCCGTTTAGGTCTATCTTCTATCTTCCCAAGATCAACTTCTCACTTCTAGTGTGACACCAGAAAGTACTGATCCATCAATCATCAGCCTCACTGTCTGGGAACTCCATTTGAAATTCCTTGGCCCCTCTCCTCCAGAAACACCTCATCATGCTCAGTCTTTGTGTGGTTCCCAAATTTGATAGCCTATTCTCTGTGTTTCACTGCCATTGGAATGCAGAACACTGAGGCTCATTCTACTGGCCATGAAAGACTGGATGTGCTGCAAAGTATTATCTACCCAGTGCTAGCGGAAAGATGTGATTGGAGGAATGGCTGAATAATGAGCACCCCTGGTAGAGATGAGAAAAAAATGATACCCATCACCTTGATATGGATATTTACAGCTTCCTACCTGACAAGATAGTTAGTACAATGAAATGAGAAAATAATGACATTTCCTCCTTAGAAAATTTGGATATTTTAAAAAATCAGAAACATCAAAAATGGTTCTTACCTAAAACTGCTGGCATTCAGATGGATAAGCAAAATGGTGCCTTGAGCTCTCTCTTCCTATCAATGTACCATATTCCTTTTCTTTCTGACCCCACAAGTAAGCTCATATGCTTATATGCCAAGGATGGCAGGTACCTTAGCTTGCTCTCAAGGTCTGAAATTCAAATGCCCTGTTTTCCCACAATGTGTTCTCCCAACAGCTGGTGGTAAATACAATGGTAAATTAAATCCCTCCTTGTTCAGTTTCGCTTCCCTCAGTTTCAGTTGCCCACAGTAACTGTGGTCCAAAAATACTAAGTGGAAAACTCCAGAAATAAATAATTGATAAGTTTTAAATTGCTGTTCTGTGTGATGAAACCTTGCACAGTCCCACTTGAGACGTGAATCATCCCTTTGTCCAGCATATCTACACTGTATACTCTTCCTGTCCATTGGTCACTTAGTATAGTCACTCAGTAACTGTCTCAGTTATGAGATCGACTGTCACAGTATTGCAGTGGTTGTGTTCAAGTGAACCTTATTTTACTTAATAATGACCCCAAAGTGCAAGAGTTAGTGATGCTGGTAATTCAAATATGCCAAAGAGAAGCCATAAAGTTCTTCCTTTAAGTGAAAAGGTGGAAGTTCTCAACTTAGTAAGATATATTGGGAGAGAGAAAGACCAAATAACTTTTATTATAGTACACTGTAATTCTTCTACTTTATTCGTTATTGTTGTTAGTCTCTTATGCGCCTAATTTATAAATTAAACTTTATCATAGGTATATGTGTATAGGAGGAAAAAGTATATATAGGGTTCAGCACTATCTGCAGTTTCAGGCGTCCACTTGGGGTCTTAAGAACAAATCCCCTGCAGATAAGGGGGATTACTATACAACAAGACAAAGCAAAACAATCAACTACCTGATCCTCTTTTGAACAGCAAGATCTTTCTTCTCATCATCAGTTGTTTCTGGACAGAACACATACTTATAGAGACGAGTCATGATGTACTTTTCAATCTGATCCATTATCTTCTCAACTCTTTCAGGAGGCACTGAAATATCCAAATGGAAATAAAAGCCCAAGATGAGGATGGGCATGTATAATTAAGAATTATTTTCATAGTACTTTCTACACAGCAGAAAACTAACTTGCTAAAAATACATTAAACACACCCAAAAAGAAAAGTATGAGATGTTACATTGAAAAATACCTTTAAAAAATTTACCTGACTTTTGGGACTGCCTTTTACATAATCCCCACTTCTAACTTAAGCTGTTTTGGCAAGACCTATCAGGTGTTAGGTCTTCCTCACACCCAAGTGGGAAGGCTCAGCATGGGTCCCACTCTATTGCTACATTAGAAAAGCACTTGAAATCCCCAGACGAATGAATGCTAGTAAGACTCACCCTTTCACTTTTCTGAGGTTTACTATAAAACCTTAGAGATCTCTCCAAAGTATATACATGGGGTAGATTTCTCAAATGTATATGTATGCTAAGTACATCCTAAAATATAACATCAATGAAAATTAAATTCAAGAAGAATCCCTATAAACCTAAAGTAAATCAGTGGTTCTCAATTTTTCTCCTGCTTTAACCTTTAAGAAATATATAATCATGACCAAATAACTCACCAAGATGGTAATTCTAAAATGGGGGTTTCATTTAGAAGCCTCCAAAAGAGTTTTAATCAGCTCTGCCCCAACCCTTAATGAAGTTATTAAACCTTGCTCAATAAATTACCCTATTGCTCTGATTATCTTGGAACAGTACACATGATGTTATTCAATGGCACTGCTAAGTGTAAGACCAGCTACCAAAATGCTGGAGTTGGGCACACCAGCCAGGCCTTCAGAGAAAGAGAGAAACTGCTAAGAGATCCAGCAGTCTGGCTCTGTGCAACTACCAGCAATCCCTCAATTTGGGCTGGCTAACAAAGTATTACCTTTCCCACGAGTCTGCATTCTTTCAGCCACATTCTGGTAAAAATCCTGAGTGCACTCTGACTGTTCCTCAATGCTTAAATCCTAAAACAAAGGGACAAAGAGGCGGCTTGGTAGCTGAAGAAAGATCAGGAATAAAACTTTAAATTTTATGTAGTCTCCAAACCCACTCCTTAAACTGGTACCAATCTCAAAAGTACTCACAAATTATATTAACTGTGCAGGGGAGAAAAGCCTATTCATAAATATTAATTGTAACACTCTATGACCTCTCATTTCCTTTTACTATATATACATGTTATTAAATGAGTATAATGCATATTTTGATAATTTACATGTTTATGTACATTTCTATTTATCTAATCTACTTAACCATTTTTGATGGCTTTATTATATTAACCAATTTTTTAGACCATCCTCTACCACTGTGCACTTGGGTTCCTTCCCCCTTTACACCCTTATGTACTATAGCTATAAACAATTATGTGAAAGCTGTTTCTTTTGGGTTATTTCTTTGTGATACATTTTCAAAAGTGTCACTAATAGTTTCTAAGATAGCTTTGAGTATCTATCACTAGATACAATCCTCAGAAACTGCAATGTACAGTCATCAGCCAAGTATGTGTGCTTATTCCCTCATGACCACTACAACATTGCGCTTCATTAATTTTTATTTGGTTTTACTGACTTTTAGGTGTAAATACATATATTTATGTCCCACATTCTTCCAAAGAATATTTGAAGTTTGCATAAAAGATAAACATAGTTCACCACAGCAAACTAGAAGGTGATAAAAAAAATAAAAAGAAAGAAAGAAAAACAAAACATGGAGAGAAACAGAAAGTGAGTCAGGAATGACAACACAAAAATGTATTCCTTGAAGATACAAAACTTAATCAACAGTCAATCCATAAATTTGTCTTTCAACTTTCTAGCAATCATCACTAAGATGAAAATAGTCACACAATTAAGAGTCCAACATATAGAAACAAACTAATTTTTCAGGTGAAATTCTGACACCAAAATTAGAAACTTCTCCCAAGGATTCTCACAAAGATGTCACTGTAGAAAGGCAAACTCTACAGGACTCTTTCTCATAAATTGCCTCTGCACAGGCCTAGGACAACATACAGCAAGGGCTGACAAAGCCCTGGTAAAGCATGCAGACCCTAATGCTCTGGCTTAATTCAGAAAGGATGTCCTGGTTCAAGGGCAGTGATCAAACCTGACTTATCTGCCTTCCGTTCTTTCCTGGTTTGGGCCTTCATGACCTCACCTGTTTAGCTGCTCTCCGCACCTTTCATCTCTCTCACTTTTCAATCCATCTTTAACATACCACAGTCCAACTGATCATGCTAGATTGTGCCTCAAATCTCCAACAGTTGTCCATCAGACAGATGCTGCCTTCAAAAGCTGTCCAAGAAAGTCCCTAATAGTTACTGCCTTTAAGACTCAGTTCATACCGTATCTCCTCTGAAACGCTCTCATTCCTTTAAAAAAAAAACAACAACTTTGTAGGTCTCACAGCATTTGCCCCGCCCCCAATCACCCCTCCGCCGACGCCAGTCACCACTGCTCCCAGATCACCGTCCCCTCCCTCTGCCCGCTGGTACCCGCTTTGGCTGGCGTGGTGCCGCCTCTGTCCCCCCCGAATGGTCATTCCGCCATTCGGTCAATGTGCATATTAGGCTTTTATTATATAGGACTAGAGGCCTGGTGCATGAAATTCATGCGGGGGGGGGGGTCCCTCAGCCCAGCCTGCACCCTCTCCAATCTGGGACCCCTCTCGCAATCCGGGACCGCTGGCTCCTAACCGCTCACCTGCTTGCCTGCCTGATCGCCCCTAACCGCTCTCCCCTGCTGGCCTGATTGCCACTAACCACTCTCCCCTGCCGGACTGATCACCTCTAACCACCTCTGCCTCAGCCTCCGCCACTGTGGCTTTATCTGGAAGGACATCCGGAAGATGTCCAGTTGACCCGATCTAATTAGCATATTACCCTTTTATTAGTATAGATCATAGAGGCCCGGTGCACGAATTCGTGCACGGGTGTGTGTGTGTTTGTGTGTGGGAACCACGGGAGGTTGGCCGCTGGCCCCAAGAAGGGAGCTGGCCCTCAACCCCCTTGGAAAAGGGGCCGTGTCTGCCACCACCCACCCCTGGTTCCCCATCCCAGCCCAGGCCCTAAGGGCCTGGTGGGGTCAGGAGAGGAGGTGATTGTTGCTGGGCCGGGTGCGGAAGGAACGGACACTGAATGCCGCCACCGCCATTGGCGCCCCACCACCGCACAGTTCCCCACCTCCCCCCTTCTCCTTCCCTCACGGCCGAGCTGCCACCTCGGCAGGTGGGCGGCCCCTGGGGAAGGGAGAGGACGGGAGTGAGACAAACCCTTGTGTCGAAGACTGATTGCAGCAAGGGAGCTGCTCTGCTATGTACAAAACCCCAACCTAGAAGCAGGTCTCTAGGAATGATTTAGCACCAGGGGCCGATGGGGGATGGCTGGCCAGGTTAGGTTGGCTGTGGGAGGGCACTGACCACCAGGGGGCAGCTCCTGCATTGAGCGTCTGCCCCCTGGTGGTGAGTGTGCATCATAGCAACTGATCAACAGGTCATTCCAGTGGTTCCGTCATTAACAGTCGCTTAGGCTTTTATATATAGAGATGTATTTGTTTGTTTTTAACTTTTATCAAATGTTTTAATTTTATTTTTTTTATTTTTTTAAAAATTTTTTTATTGATTAAGTTATTACATATGTGTCCTTATCCCCACGTTACCCCCTATCCCACCCACTCATGCCTTCACCCCCCCTGTTGTCCATGTCCATTGGTTAGGCCTATATGCTTGCATATAAGTCCTTTGGCTGATCTCTCCCCCTTACCCCCACCCTCCCCTACCTTCCCTCCCCGGCCCGATGGTCCAATCGATGCCTCTCCGTCTCTGGATCTGTTTTTGTTCATCAGCTTATGTTGTTCACTATATTCCACAAATGAGTGAGATCATGTGGTATTTATCCTTCTCTGACTGGCTTATTTCACCTAGCATAATGCTCTCCAGTTCCATCCATGCTGTTGCAAATGGTAAGAACTCCTTCTTTTTTACTGCAGCATAGTATTCCATTGTGTAGATGTACAACAGTTTTTTAATCCACTCACCTACTGATGGGCACTTAGGCTGTTTCCAAATCTTAGCTATGGTGAATTGTGCTACTATGAACACAGGGGGGCATATAACCTTTCTAATTGGTGTTTCTAGTTTCTTGGGGTATATTCCTAGAAGTGGGATCACTGGGCCAAATGGGAGTTCCATTTTTAGTTTTCTGAGGAAACTCCATACTGTTCTCCACAGTGGCTGCACCAGTCTGCATTCCCACCAGCAGTGCAGGAGGGTTCCTTTTTCTCCACATCCTCTCCAGCACTTGTCGTTTGTTGATTTGTTGATGATAGCCATTCTGACAGGTATGAGATGGTACCGCATTGTCGTTTTGATTTGCATCTCTCGGATGATTAGTGACTTTGCGCATGTTTTCATATGTCTCTTGGCCTTCCTTCTGTCTTCTTTTGAAAAGTTTCTATTTAGGTCCGTTGCCCATTTTTTGATTGGATTGTTTATCTTCCTTTTGTTTCGTTGTATGAGTTCCCTGTAACTGTTGGAGATTAAACCCTTATCGGGGATAACATTGGCAAATATGTTCTCCCATGCAGTGGGCATTCTTGTTGTTTTGTTGATGGTTTCTTTTGCTGTGCAGAAGCTTTTTATTTTGATGTAGTCCCATTTGTTTATTTTCTCTTTAGTTTCCATTGCCCTAGGAGCAGTATCAGTGAAGAAATTGCTTCGGCATATGTCTGCTATTTTGCTGCCTGCGGATTCCTCTAGTATTTTTATGGTTTCTCGTCTTATGTTTAAGTCCTTTATCCATTTTGAGTTTATTTTTGTGAATGGTGTAAGTTGGTGGTCTAGTTTCATTTTTTTGCATCTATCTGTCCAATTTTCCCAACACCAGTTATTGAAGAGACTGTCTTGACTCCATTGTATGTTCATGCCTCCTTTGTCGATTATTAATTGTGCATAGTGGTTTGGGTCGATTTCTGGGTTCTCCATTCTATTCCATTGATCTATATGTCTGTTGTTGTGCCAGTACCAGGCTGTTTTGAGAACAGTGGCTTTGTAATACAGCTTGATATCTGGTATTGAGATCCCACCTACTTTATTCTTCTTTCTCAGGATTGCTGCAGCTATTCGGGGTCTTTTTTAAATTCGGTTCCGTTGTTAATGGTCGCTTACGCTTTTATATATAGAGATGTTTTTTAACATCAAAATCACATATAGTTGTGGAGGCTCAAACTAGTGAAGGTTAATTAAATACATAATTTTCCCAATTGTTCTACATTTTGATTCTGAAAAGAAAGCTGGCTTTGTCCATTTCTTATTTAAAAAACATTTAAAAATCATATAAAGTTCATTTTAGAATATATTTTGACGCTTGCAAAATTTAGAAACCTCCTCTCCAAAATCCTTGCATTCTACCCCCAAAGATTACACGGTATACTTGTTCCCTTGTTTTTCTAGAATAAACAATATAACATTGTAATTTAAATGATATCTTAAGTGTTCATATTAACCTGAAAAATATTTGTAAATTTATTTTTCTCGGCTAGAGCCCAGGTACAATCCTTAATCTTTTAATTCATTGAATAAACCTCTAACTTTCTATATTAGATGTTATTAATATTTAATTTTATTTATTGCTATTGTCTTTAAAATTACTATTTTTAAAGAATGCGCTAGGTTTTTTATCACTGGAATGTTGTATTGTAACTGAATTTTGTGGACTTTTATATCACCATATTGCCAAATTTATACCTCTATTAGTATTCTGTTTTTCCTTGGATTTTCCTGACAAATTTTCCTGAATATCCTGAATATTATATTTCTATCTATTCTAAAAACATTTATTACATTATTAGAATTCCCACAATTGCTTATACTGTAGTATAAGCAATTACATGAAAGATTTAAAAAATGCTCAGAGAGCATGCAAATAATTATCTTCTACTGTATGATAAATATAAGCCTGAAGGATAAAATGTCATAGGACATATAGTAAATCTCTCACTTCTTTTTTTTTTTTTTTTTAAGCCTACAGCACCCGGTATTCCCAGGCGGTCTCACTTCTTTTTCTTATTCTATCTCCACTAATCATCTCGAAACAGATATGGTGGTAGCAGCAGCAAATATTTTTGTTTTATACTAATACCCATATGAGATGGTCATGAGGAAGGTTGTTTCCTTTATGCTCCGTTGTATGAACTCAAGTAGACCCATCTTCGTACAAAACTTGATCTCCAGAAAAATATATCCATGGACAAAACAAGTTTAGGTCCACTGAAAACATTTCTTCAAAGAACTAGTTTTAATATTATGCTTGGACTTCCAGGTGGATAGTCATAGCAGCAGCTATATGAAGTACATGTCCATAAGAACATATTTACAAATTCTAAATATAAATTCTAAACTCATGCCCATTATAAAAGATCCTTTTCTCTAACATAACACACTGCATTCACAGGCATTGCCCTGTGGGAATTGATACTCAAGGAATTGGTGCAAATGCTGATTCACTCTGGCTTACTACTGTTATAAACTGGCCTTTATTTCTGACCCAAGACACTTATGTCTTCTGCCAGTATCCATGAAACTATGGCAGGCTAATTTGTTAACATGCAAGTAAGGTAAATCTCAGATCCTTCACAGTTCTTGTCAAAGGGCTAAATGATAGTAGATTTGTGTTGGTTAAGTCTTTCAGGTTCTATAAAATTCCAAAGGTTTTTTTCATATTTTCCTAAGAAAAAAACACTTATAGTGTAAATCCTTAAGTATTAAGTATTCTCTAAACATGGCCTGGGATCATCTTTTCTATAAAGTCTGTATAAAGTCATTTTACTTTTTTTCCCTAAAACTATTTTTTCTTTGTAGTTTAAAAAGTTTTGACAAGTGGCCCTGGCCGGGTGGCTCAGTTGGCTGGGCATCATCCTGTACACCAAAAAGTTGTAAGTTTGATTCCTGGTCGGGGGGAGTACAGGAGGCAACTGATTGATGTTTCCTAATCACAATGATGTTTCTCTCTCTCTCCTACCTCCTTTCCTCTCTTAAAAAAAATTTTTTTTTTCAATAAAAACATATCCTTGGTTGAGGATTTTTTAAAAATTGAAAAAAAAATGTTTGACAAGTGGATATATTCCTTTGAATATTAATACTGAGAGGTTCTCTGTATACATTTCTTAGTTGTCTAGTTGAAGTCTTTTTTTATTTACCTCCAGTTTTGAAAATCTGACTATTTCTGTAATTATGTTTTCTGTATATTTTATCTGGAACTCCCCATCTACAGAAATTGGATCTCTGTGATCATTTTCTGAATTCATTAACTGTTGCACTACAGTTAACTGTTTTTAATGAATTTAGGTTTTTAGTTTTGATGTCCATATTTTCTGTATGGCTGGTTTCTGTTGCCTCCAATAATGTGTGATCTTACACGTCCTTGGATCGTGCCACACTTGTACCTAATTAAAGCTTGGTTCTTACAGTAATATTCTTATAGTTATTTTGTAATAAGAAGAAGTTTAAAAAACTAAACCTTGTAAATTCTCCTTAGCTTTCTTCATACACCATCTCCCCCGTCCCCAACCTTCTGGCCATTTCTACAATTTAAAATCTTGCTATGATGACTTTAAAAAAAAAGAGAAAAATAGCTGATTATAACTGTGTGTTCAACCTGAATGGACTGTATATTAATGATGTAGCTGCCTGTCTCATTTACAATAGAAATATATCTTATTTTAAAGAATATGAAAAGGGATTACAAGACAATACATACCTTAATATTAAGTATCTAATAAGATTAAGCAAAAAGAAAAAAAGGGGAAAATAAACCAGTCTTAGCAAATGATAGTATCTGTTGAACAGAAAAGCATTACATTTCAATAATGCAGTGTTATGTAAATGAAATTTTAGCCAAATTCCCCTTTTAGAATGAAAAAAAATTCTTTTTCAGTCTAAGTGCAGGTCAAGTACTTCCTTATTGATAAAGATAAAATGGCTGAAAAATTTTAACATAATTCTGAAAATATGTATTTCATTTTCTAGACTTGACCCATATGCAGAAAAGGCTGCTCACCACTGGCATACCATAGGGTTGGAGAAAACAGGAATAAAGCTAAAAAAAAAAAAAAGATGTAGGCAAGAATGGTTCAGTGTTCTGAAACTCACACATTTGAAGAATAATATTGTGGGGGTGCAGTAGGAAGAATTATCAATGAATGGCAATGAGGCAGTTCCAAACAGATAAGACTGTATTTTCATAATGAGTAGATCATAAGAATAAGAAGCCTAGAAAGTTTAGTTGGTGAGCATAACATTAACTTCAGATTTTTAAGCAGTTTTGATAAACTGAGTACCTCTCAGAGGGCACTTGCACTGTGATATATTTCATTATATCACAGGAACTATCCCAAGTTGTACTCAAATTCTCTCAAGAAATTTATAATTAAATGATTTGAAGCTAGTTAGATAAGGTTGCTTCATTCAGGTGTAAAAACTGTTTTATTTATTTGAAACATTAACTTGCAGCTAAAGACTAGAAGGGCTTCCCTAGGGACATTCAGTTTAACAAACATCTGTTCGGTATCAGGTATGTGCCAGGTACCATGCTAGATGCTGAGCACACATGCATACGACTTGGCCACTTCAACATAAAACAGTGCTGGTGTACAAATGAAAACTAGGTTGTACAGTGGTTCTTCAACAAGGAGGACTCTGAGGCCATATTCAGGTCTCTAATATCAATTAGTGGTGCCTTGAAAACAACTAAGTATGGCAGTATCTGTACCTGTTAATTACCTCTTTACTTCAGTATATTGAGTCAAAAGTCTACTAAATTATTACAGAAAAAGGGAACATTACACTTCTGAGCAAAAGAAAAAGAAACAAATCTGAGTTCAGCAGTTTTTAAAAATATAGTGCTTTGTGCTATGTGTACTATATAGTATATATGCCAATACAGTATATATAGCAAGTAAATATTTCATATGGGCTGAAGAATAAATAACTACAAAACTTTAGTTTTTACTTCTGATAAAAGTGAAAGTTGTATATCACATGATATCTGAATTTTTCATATTAAAGAAGTCTATCATTTCTTCTAACTCAAAATGTAAATGATATCTTGCTTGCTTTATTTAACTCTCACTATTTGCTTGCAAACACTTTCAGGGTGGAAACAGAAGCCTGTTTATTTATTTTCAGTGTAAATGCACACCAAAAAAAAAAGCAAAACAAGAAAGAAAGCTTATTTTCTCCTGTACTAACTGAATTCAATATTTAAAAAATATTTTGACAAGAGCTAATTCTAAGTTTAATGGGTGAGGTATGTTACAAACACATTAATCACTATTTACAAAATGAGCCCCTTTATAGGTGGTCTTATGAATTACTGTAACTGAAATTATCGGTTAGAAATTACAGGTTAAAGACACACATGTGAAACACACAAGTACTAGTTCTGACACTGGCAGAACCTAGCTGTTAACCTTGGACAAGTGACTTATCCTCTCTGGCTCTCAACTTTCCCATCTATAAAATAAAAGGACTAAAATCAGATAACTGCTAAGGTCCCTTTCAACATCTAAATTCTAGCTTTCCCTTCTCTACTTTAGCAAGGAGAGGAAAATTTAAAATCAAAATACAAAAAACAAAAACAAAAATACCCTAAAATGGTTGCTATTGGTCTAACAATTGTTACTTACGAGCTCAAGTTCTACTAACTGTGGTAGTTTATACTGTTTACAAGGTACAGTTAGGAAGGCTTAGTACTAAAGTATACTATAAAAGTGTCTTGGATGACACACTTTCCACGTAAAGATGATCTAAATGCCACTGAGTTGCAGTGGAAAAGTACTAGACTGGGAGTCAGGTTTTCACTTTATTCAGTGTCATTTCTTAGGTAACTTAATATCTCTGGGTCTTGATTTTCTCAGGTATAAAATGACAAAGTTGCACTAAATTATCTCGAAGACCCTTCCTCAAACCAAAACTCTGTTTCTAAGTAGTCATTCTCAACCTACCCTTTTGTAATGCATTGCTTCCAAAAACATCTTGGTCTGCTTATAGATTTCTTGGCCTGTCTTGTGGAAGGTCTTGAGAAATTCTATGAACTCTTTAGACACTCTATCCGTTTCAATGCTGGTTTGCCGGTTTATGGAAGGACTGGGAGCTTTTGCTTCCTGAATTTCTGCTGGGAAAATTAAAAATAAGTTTCATTACACAGAAGAGCCATGCATGGAATTACTTAAAGTATCTAATTTAAGATTATTTAAATGACGCTTAATCAAAGTTAAACTTGACTTTAAATTATTTTATGTTTAAATATTTGGGCAACTTTCCTTAAAGTAAGCTAAATTTATTTTATGAGTAAAAATACAAATAGAAAAAAACCTATATGATGTAAAAGATATCCCTATTCCAACAAAAGTTGCTTTATTTATATTTTCTTGGCCAAAATATATCATGCTTTGATCTATATATTTAATCATTAATACTAAAATGGCACCACTGTCTTGAACAACTTTCTACAAGGTTTGCATGAGTTTATAAAACTAATTAAGTGAAATAATCAGAAGTACAAAAATTTAGATGACTTATAAAATATTAGACAACTTTTCCAAATCCAATTTACTTGCCAAAAAGGCAAAAGGCTAATTTGTTTATGTGGAGATTAACAATTATTTATCCAACATTCGGTTTTCAAGTCAGACTGCTCAAAGTAAAAGACTGCATTTAAGTAGCATAATGATCATGACAGAGCATACAGCTAAGAGGCAAGGGAAGCAAATAAAACACTGTCCAATGAATTGGCCACATACTCTTTTTCTCTTCAATAAATACACTGAAGCCCTAGCCGGTGTGGCTCAGTGGATAGAGCGTCGGCCTGCAAACTGAAAGTTCGATTCCAGTCAAGGGCATATGCCCAGGTTGTGGGCATAATCCCCTGTGGGGGACTTGCAGGAGGCAGCCAACCCATGATTCTCTCTCATCATGGATGTTTCTATTTCTCTCTCCCTCTTCCTTCCTCTCTGAAATCAATAAAAATGTATTTTTTAAAAAACACCACAAAAGTATTAAATAAATAAATACATATATACATACATACATACACTAAAAGGAAAATGGGACAGTCATGGAACAGAGGTAAGGGAGATATAAGAGTAAGCACTCTCAGAAAGTATGAACTATCACTTGGTCTCTTATCACATTCTAAACCTCCTACTTTTGAACTGTGCTCTCTAATTCAATACCTATAAGGAATTAGGTACCTTATACATCCATACTTCCCTTTTAACACAAAAAGAAAGATAATTAAGAAGAAAAATAATCTTTTTAAGGTATTAAAAATCAACTAATTACATGTTTTCTTTTTTAAAAATATATTTTATTGATTTTTTACAGAGAGGAAGGGAGCGGGATAGAGAGTTAGAAACATCGATGAGAGAGAAACATCGATCAGCTGCCTCCTGCATACTCCCCACTGGGGATGTGCCCGCAACCAAGGTACATGCCCTTGACCGGAATCGAACCTGGGACCCTTGAGTCCGCAGGCTGATGCTCTATCCACTGAGCCAAACCGGTTAGGGCTACATGTTTTCTTAGAGTAATTTCTTATAATCTTATTTTTTGAACTTTAGTACCTAATATACATTTTAATGAAGTTGAAATAAAGTTTTTAAAAATATATTTTTTTTATTGATTTGAGAGAAAAAGGGAAAGGGAGAGACATAGAAACATCAATGATCAAAGAGAATCATTGACAGGCTGCCTCCTACATGCCCCCTACTGGGGATTGAGCCTGCAACCCGGGCATGTGCCTTTGACTGGAATCAAACCTGGGACCTTTCAGTCCGCAGGCCTACACTCTATCCACTAAGCCAAACTGGTTAGGAGAAAATAAAGTTTTAATAAAGGCATTATTTCTATAGATTGCCTGGTTTATTCAAGTAAACAAACACATATAGATTACCTAAAAATATACACTATTACCTGTAACAAATTAATCACTCCATATCTCACTTATTACATAACTGGTTATTAAATGTGTTACTTAATTACTTGACTTATGCTCTAATTAAAGTAAAAACACCTCCCCCCAAACTGTATTATTAAGTAGTTAGCAGAAGAAAACTGCACTTCATAGTTATCTTCCCAAAACAAGTATTTGCCTAGTTTTTAAATTATCAGGTGCTAACTATGATTCAAAATGTAGAAGCCATTAAAGAATTCAATCACATTAAAAGAAAAATAAAGGAAAAAAGCACACAAAAAATACTGTATATGTGACTAGAAACACATCAGTCAGAAGTTGGACAACAAACTGGGAAAAAATGTTTGTATGTTACAGCACAAAGGGCTACTCTCCCTAATGTAAAAGGACTCCTATAAAGAAGAAAAAAAATTGAACAGTTTAATATGAAATGGGTAAAGAATACTAACAATTCACAAAAAGGAAACATAAATGGATCTTAAACAGGAAATATGTTCAATCTCACTCCTGTTAACAAATATGCAAATTAATACTACTATGAGATGCCATTTAAAAAAGTAATAAATAGACAAAAATTTGAAGTTTGATGTTGATGAGGATATGGGGGAAGGCACTCATGAAGGTGGGAACGTAAAATGATATAACTGCAATGAAGTGCAATTGGTAATAATCATCAAAATTAAAAATACATTTATCCTATGACCAAACAATTCCATTTTTCAGAAATTTTCTGATATAATTGCATATGTACAAAATAAGGCTACTCATGTTAGCACAATACTGCAACTGTACAAAATGGTGACTTAAGGGATTACATAAATTATTTAATCCACAAAATGGAATATTGTGTAATTTTAAAACAAAAAAGTATGCCTTTATGTAGTGATAAAAGGAAGAAGTTCTTAAATGTATTGCTAAGTTTATTTATTTAAAATATATTTTTATTGATTTGAGAGAGGGAGAGGGAGAGATAGAAACATCAATGATGAGAGGAAATCACTGATTGGCTGCCTCCTGCATGCCCCCTACTGGGGATTGAGTCCACAACCCTAGCATGTGCCCTTGACCAGAATTGAACCCAGGACCCTTCAGTCCACAGGCCGACGCTCTATCCATTGAGCCAAACCTGCTAGGGCTGTATTGCTAAGTTTAAAAATGAGGATATATGTAGTGCTATCTTTTATGTAAAATAGGGAAATTGGGATAAAGATATATGTATTTATAAATGAAAACAAAAAAAACTGCGAATCACACATTCATTTAGTGGTCATGTATACTAGTCTTTTTTTTTAAATGTATTTTTATTGATTTCAGAGAGGAAGGGAGAGGGAGAATGACAGAAACATCAATGATGAGAGAGAATCATTCATTGGCTGCCTCCTGCATGGCCCACGCTGGGGATTAAGCCTGCAACCTGGGCATGTGCCCTGACTGGGAATTAAACTGTGACCTCCTGGTTCATACCAGCCGGGCACTAGTCTTCTTTAATCTGGAAATGCTCCCAACCTTCCTTTGTTTTTCAAGACATTCACAATTTAGAAACATACAGGCCAGTTATTTCATTGAATGCCCCTCAGTTCCGGTTTCTCTGCTGTTTCCTCATGACTGCATTCAGGTTATAAATTTTCAGCTTATGCTGTGCTCTTTTCAAAGTATCATTATCTGGAAACACATAATGGCTACCTTCCCCCTAGTTACATAGTTACCATTTCTCTATTTGTAATTAATAAATAAGTTATGGGAGTTCATTTGAGACCACGTTCTTAACTTGTTCCTCAGGAAACTCCCTCCTCTCAACCCAGATGATGAAACTTGCCTGAATCAATCCTTATTATGACAACTGTGAAATAGTGATTTTTCTATCTCCATCATCCTTTTCTTTTAGATTACACTAATTAGATAACACTCTTTGGTAAAGAAGAACTTTCTCTTCTCCTTTAATTATTTATCTATTTTATTAGTTGGCTGGACTAATGGATTATTATTTTATTCAATAAGTTACACTCCATTGATTGTCCTTATTTATTCTGATACTCCAGTTTGGCCAGTGGGAACCCATTCAAGCTCGTTTCTGGGTCTTTGCCATGTCCCCAACATTTTTGGGGGTCCTCTTTCCCAGTTCCAGCCCTGGAATCAGTCATTTCTCCAAGGAACCATAGTTTAGTTTAGTGAAGAACAGTATTAGAATCTAATAACTAGGTGGAAGACTAGCGTTTTAATTCTAGGAGCATAACTTTTAGATTAATTTGTAAACTGTTAACAAGTTTTTACTTAAGGTGACAACATCTATTTGAGCTCTTAAAAAGTGGGAATTTTTAAATGTATGAGCAAGTATTTCCACTTGGCCAACGCACTATAAATTACTCTGTAAGCTTTAGCTCACTCAAGCTTACTTTGGAGATTAGAAAACTATATGTAAACTCTCTAAGTTTTTACAGTCAACCATCTCATGCTTGTTAAAATAGTCTTCAAATCTTTAGAAGGTTATTTGTGTTCTGTTTATTACCAAGCTGCCCTGGCTTAACAGCTTTCTTTTGTGCTACCAAAGAAGTAAAATATCAAGAGCAAGGGCATCATGTATTAATGAAGTAAAATAAAGAACACGAAACACAAAAGGTCTATCTTAGTTTAGACTCAATAAATTAAAACACATTTAGAATAGGCTAACCTCACCTACATGCAAAGGCCAAACAATCAGTCTAAAATGCTAAGTCCATCTAGCAAAGTTACATAAGCTTGTGGAAAAAAAAGATCCAACAGCATCCTCTTTACACACATTAATTTTTTCAATACTTTGAGGTCTTTTCCCCCATATGCTTTCTATAAACAAACAATAGAAATAACTAAAGATAAAAAATCAAAGTAAAAACCTATCATTCTAAAAGAAAAAATATTCCGTATAAAGGTTTTCTTTTTAAATTTACTTTTTGTTAATCCTCACCTGAGACTATTTTTCCATTGATTTTTAGAAAGAGTGGAAGGGAGCAGGAGAGATAGAGAGAAACATCAATGTGAGAGAGAGACATTGATTGGTTGCCTCCTGCATGCGCCCTGACTAGGGCAGGGGATTGAGCCTGCAACTGAGACACATGCCCTTGACCAGAATCAAATCTGGGACCCTTCAGTCCAAGGGCCGACACTCTATCCATTGAGCCAAACTGGCGAGGGCCATGTAAAGGTTTTTACAATAAAAATAACTTGGAATTGTTTCTTTTAAAGTACCAATCTTCTTTCTATACTATGATGCACATTGTCAGAAGCTCTTAGAACATTTTTCTAAAACTGTCAAGGATGGTCAGTGAATGCACATGATTATTATGCACTTCAGTAATAGAAACCTCATCAAATGTCTATACATATAGGTAAAGATATAGATAAACACACACACATACACACACACGAATTCAAGGAAAAACACTAAGCCAGGAGTTAGGAGACCTGAGCTCTAATACATCAACTCATAGAACTTTGGGTAAATTAGATAACTTTTATGAGCTTTATGTCATTTGTAAAATGAGGCAGGTTAGAGTTAATAGTTTTATAATTTCTGTACTATTTCATCTGCTGTCATATGCCATTTCATTATCTATCATCCTATACCAGTGATGGCGAACCTTTTGAGGTCGGCGTGTCAGCATTTTGAAAAACCCTAACTTAACTCTGGTGCCGTGTCACATATAGAAATTTTTTTATATTTGCAACCATAGTAAAACAAAGACTTATATTTTTGATATTTATTTTATATATTTAAATGCCATTTAACAAAGAAAAATCAACCAAAAAAATGAGTTCGAGTGTCACCTCTGACACGCGTGTCATAGGTTCGCCATCACTGTCCTATATAATAAAAAGGTCATATGCAAATTGACCCTACCAGAACGACCACTCGACCAGTCACTATGAGGCGCACTGACCACCTCTCGGTCCCTTTCCCCGGCCAGCAGTCTCCAATCACCCAATGGTGAACGGGGAGCCAGGGGTGGGTGGCGGGGGACGCAGGTGGAGCCAGGCCAAGGCCCCCACCCCACCAGTTGCCCCACATACAGAGGGCAACCTGCTGCGAGGGCAGGGCTGGCGAGCGGGCGGAATGGCCGACCTCTCAGTTCCTCCCCCTGGCCGGCAGGCTCCGATCACCCAATGGCGAATGGGGAACTGTGGGTGGGTTGCGGTGGGAGGCAGGACCAGCTGCAGGCAGCCGGGGAAGATGGCCCTAATCACAGGCCAGGCCTAGGGACCATACCCATGCACGAATTTCATGTGCCGGACCTCTAGTAAATTCATAAGATTAGTGAGACTTTTCCCAAAGCAGGAAACAGAATTTAAGCTAACTAGGAAAGAATGACTTTGATCAATGCCCTTGAGCTCTCTACTAGCAGAGACTATTCTCTCAGAAAAACATTTATTGGTTTTAAAATAATTAACACTTACTGTAGACTTACAATGTATGTCAGGTACTGTGCTAAACTCTTTAAACACATCAACTCATTTAACCTAAAGGCATGCCTATGGTAAGTATTACTGTCCTTCAGAACAGACAGGCTTAAAGAGATTAGCTTGCTCTGAGTCACACAGCCAGTAAACCACAAAGCTGAGACTCAAACCAGGATGACTCCAAAGCTTATGTTTTTAACCACCTTACTATACTACCTCCTAATAAATAAATCATGAGCCAAATATATTTTTAATTTAATCTCCAGCGGGTATTGACTATTCTCCAAATTAATCATGTGAACTAAAAGATTATTTAAAGATTTGTTTTTCTGGTTATAAGCAACCTTTCCTTTAATAAAACTAAACAAGAGTCATTAAATCCAAGACCAGCAAAGATCTTAAGGAGTGATGTTATTCATTCCCCTGCCTTTAGGCAGGCCAAAAAACCTCATCCCAAATACCCCAAGTTGAGGGGCTGGGAATGAGACGGGGCTCCCAAGAAAAGAGCTCTTCTGACTGCATCAGTGTTAGTTCCCATGCTTCCTCACTATTCCAAATTCACTGCACAACGGTTACCAATATAAATGTTCAGAGACCAAGTCCTAACAGCAGACATTCTCTCTTGCTTCCTGCTAGACTGCTCACTGGTAGAACAAGTGTGACTTTAGCGATAATCCTGTTGCTGGTTTATGGCATTTTAAGAAGTAGGATGAATAAGGTCAAGTACATACACACCCACACACTAGAAAATGCATACTATGGGTTATGTTCACCAATCTAAAAGACCAAAGTGAGTCTTTTTGTATATGTTCTCCATATATTTCCTCAATACTGTCTCTCAGATAAGCTCTCAGAAAACTTCCTTTTTAGATGACTTCAAGCCTAGAAACAGCCATTTCTGATAAGACATGAATGGTAGGGACAACACATAAAGGAGAATAAACCAGGATCCAAAAATTAAAGGCACAAAAAAACAGAACATCCAAAAAAGACAGCCATTTAGATGGGCATGAATTTTATAAAGGAAACTATATATTTCATTTCTCTTTATTTCTCCTAGAGTAAATAAACAAGCTTCTCTAAAAAAAAAACCAACCAAAGAGATTTTTTGTTTCATATATTGCCTGACCCTCAAACCCAATTTCATATGTCACCTGACCCTCAAATCTGAGTTCATGGTCTCTAAAAGCTTTTACAGAAATTAAAAGGCTGAGCCTACATGTATGTGGATCTACTCTGTACTTCATTTGGGCACAGAAGAAAAAAAGAAAATCAGAAAATTACCTTTCTTTGATCCAACCCTGGATGAAGCACTGAAGAACTTCTTCACTGTGGTAACCTTGCGAGTCTTCTCATTGGTTTTCTTTTCTTCAAACTTGGAAAATGTGAGGGACTGAGCCCCTTGGCTGGTCTGACTGCTGGCAAAGGCCTCTTCCTCCTCCCGCTGTAGTCTGTAATTCAAGAGAGGATTAATGACCCAGATGTTCTCCAAGTTTTCCTTGTATCTAAAGGTTATTACTCAATGAATTGAGGAGGATCTAAAATTTTTAGAACTAGAGGCCAAATGCACCAAATAATAGGTCTGTAGTTTCTGACATGAAACTATCCTACATGCAACTATAGACTTTAAAAGAGACTTTCTCCACAGATCATGTTCATTCAGCAACTGTACGAGGGTTACATAAAAGAAAGTCCAGTCCTTTTCCCTAATAAGCTCAAGGTCAAAAAGAAGAAAAAGATAAGTAAATAATTACAACATAATGTAACAGCTCCTATAGTAGAGAGTAAAACACAAGTGCTATGAGAACAAAGGAAAGAACAACTAAATCTGCTGGAGGAGTCCAAGAAGGTTTCACAATAGTGACATTTAGGTATGTCTTAAAGGATGAATAAGATTCCACCAAGTCAAAGGCATTCTGGGAAGAAGGAGCTACAAATGTGAAGGCATAAGGTTCTTGTTACAAACCAAGTCCAGTGTAGTCAGAGCACCGATGGTGTGATGAATATGAGGCTTATTTGTGTATAGGCACCAGATGGTAAGAAACCTTGGCTGCGGACCCACTATCATCCTGGATTTCACTATGTGGTGGGAAACCAAAAAGACTGTAAATCCAGTAAGTTACCATGATCAGATCTGTACTTAGAAAGATAATACAGGCAGTTGTGTGACAACGGGAGGGGCAGAGAGACTAGAGACAGGGACAACAATTAAGAATATATTACAAATATTTAAGTGAGAGAAAATAGGACCTAGAAAACAGGAGAGGGTGAAATTAAAAAGACTTCTCTAAGCTCAAAAAAGTAGAACTTGCACAACTAGTTGTAGATAGTGTGAGAGGTGAAGGAGAAATTAAGAATACGCCAATGTTTTTTAGCCAACTGAATTAATGGTAATGTCACTAACTGATTCAGAAAGAGGTTAGGAAAAAATGTTGAAAATGGGGATTAGAGTAAATAAAAGCACTAATTTTGGCCTTAGAACTGCTGAATTTGAGGTATTTATAATAAATCTCAAAAGCTATCTATAGAACAATGGTTCTCAAAGTGTGATTCCTCAGATAGTAGCATCAGCATCACTTAGGAACTTGTCATAATGCAAATTTTCAGGCCTCACTCCCAACCTAATAAATTCAGACTCTGGGAATAGGTCCAGCAATCATTGTTTTTACAAGATTTCCATCCAGTTGATTCTCATGCCTGTAGGAAACCTCAAGCGAGATTACAATTGAAAGGAGTAAGAAATAGCAACAAAATCACAGGGAGAGGTGGTTAATCTGAGAATGGAATAGAGATACATCTTTCTCTGAAACAAAATAGAAGGTAATATAGGTATTAGTACATTTGGCAGTGAAGAGGGGAGAAAGCTAAGAGCATTCATGTTTAGTATCCTTTACTTCTTCCTGAAATAGATCAGCTACTGAGAATATCAGGAATGCAGTGAGAAACCTGAAGGAATAGTTAATGTTCTCTATATATTTTTTCTCTCTTTGATTGACCATGGAGTCACCGAAAGTGGTGAGTGTACTATTTAATTCTGTGCATTCACAGATGTTAGAAAAGTGGTCACTCAAATGTGGCTAATTAGATATAAAACTAGCAAAAGTGGTCAGAGTTCAGCTTGACTTTCTTTTACTGAGAAGTTTCAGCTTCAAGGATGCTCTGGCAAAGGATTAACATTATTTGTGGCATTTTATTAGTTCCTATGCTCACCAGCTATGCCATCTTTTAATTTTTATCATAATCATATTTCTGGATAATACAAACTTCTCAAATAATACTTCTGTCCTACAAACCCCATTTCGGAAAAGTTAAATTTTCATAATTCAAGAACTACAAATCTGTTGATTTGTATATACTACATGTTTGTGATGTGCCAGATGCCATGCTGGATATAACAAAAAATGGGGAAAAACAATGCTTGATGAGAGCCATGTGCCAAGTCCTGTGCTAAGGACATCATAAATATTACCTCATTTAGCCTCCACCATGAAGTATGTTTACCTCCATTCTTCTACTCCCAAATGTTATTGTCTGTATTAGGAAACACACACACCTCAAACACAAAATACTTAAATGGTAAGACAAAATGAAGGTACTGAAAGCTATTCATTAAATGTTGACTGAGAAGAAGGGGGGCATTTTTTTCACTTAATATTAGGCTGACCTGCTGATAGCTCAAGACAGAAGAGAAAAAATTTATTCTGACAATAACAGTACTATGTATCCAGTTATATCACTGTAAAACCACCCCTAGTTAAGTCTTTTTACCGCTCTGCCAGTTCCCAATCCTCCTGAATCTGCTTCTGCCTGGCTTTGTGGTACTCCTCCCTCCAGCATTTGGAACAGAAACCCTGCCAAGCAGGGTTGCCGTAGTAACCACATCCTTTCTTGCAAAGGAGCTCTGATTGATCCACGTGAATTCCTCGGCGTTCAGACTTAAGGCTCATTTTCTTCCTGTTAATCAAATAACAAACAAGAAAGTGTTGTTGAAAATGAATTATTCTATCAGCACAGCAAATACCCCAAAAATGATTCCATATCTTCAAGTTATAGGGGAGGGAAGAAGAGAAGGAAGAAAAGGGAGAGGAGGAGGTAGGGAAGGAGAAAGGGAGGGAAAAAGGACAGTTTAAATAAAGCAAATTCTTGACATAGTCATATTAAAGAAAAGACTTCTTATTCCCTGCCCAGTTACATAATGAACACCTTAAGAAAGGACTAATGTTATATTAAAGACCTAACAGTAAAACATAAAATTATAAAACTCCTAGAAAAAAACATAGGGGGAAAACTTCATGACATTGAATTTGGCAACAATTTCTTGGATATTACACCAAAAGCCCAAGTAACAAAACAGACAAATGGGACTACAGCAAACTTAAAAACATCTGCACAGAACAAATTCAATAGTGATATAAAAGTGAATATTTTGTCTCAAATAAAATAATTCAACATTTACCAAGAAAATGAATATAATGAAAGCATCAGAACAATCTAAACTCTTCAAGAAGGCATTCAGGAACCTTAGCAATCTAGGACAAATTAACATGAGTCCACTAGTTGTCACCACTCACTACATACACAATATTGTCACAGGTACTTAATATAATTATTTATGGCAAACAAACAAACAAACCCCAAGGTAGACATTATCTCCATTTTTTCACATGTGAAATCTCAGGTTCAGAGAAATTTTCAAAAGCACATAAACTCTACTGAAAACAAAAGAAAAGGAATTTAAAACCAGGTGAGCTTCCAAAATCCTCGTACCACATTGTCCCCAATCTACTTGTCCAAACTCAACTCACATCCCTGAGCACAGTAATGTTCATATGATTATCTCCTAAACAAAACATGCAAGTTTGTGCCTCAGCTTAGAATTCTTTCCTATACTTTTCTTCTGCTTTTTCAAAGATCATTCACTATTGAAAGTTCATTTTAAGGGTCATCCCTTCAATGAAACTTCCCATGAGCTTCCATCCACCCAGAAATAACTGAACCTCCATTCTTGTAACATTACTTATTTAGGAACCAGTTAAGTCCATTCTACTTCATCATAAAGGATCATTTCTGCCCTGCCTGGATGACTCGGTTGGAGCGTCATCCCAAAAAGTTGGGGGTTTGATCTCTGGTCTGGGAACATACGGGAAGCAACCGATTGATGCTTCTCTCTCACATCAATGTTTCTCTCTCTTAAAAAAAAAATCAATAAAAACATATCTTTGGGTGAGGATTTAAAAAAAATCGCATGTTTGATTTCCTCTCACTTAGTCTAGAAGCATCTTGAAGAGCTGCTTTATATCCCAACAGAACACAGTATGGTGCTAAGGTGCTCAATATGTGTTTTGAATTGCATATGGAGATAGGGCTGCTTTCTATTCAGCCTTCATTTGAACAGTGAATACGTTTTCCTTTAAGATTTGATAGAAATTATTTTTCTTTAATATATCTTTATTGATTTCAGAGTGGAAGGGAGAGATGAAAACATCAATGATGAGAGAGAATCATTGATCGGGTGCATTCTGCACCACCACCACCACCACCACCCAATGTGGATGGAGCCCACAACCTGGGCATGTGCCCTGTTCGGAAATTGAACCATGACCTACTCGTTCATAGTTCAACACTCAACCACTGAGCCACACCAACTGGGCAAGATTTGATACAAATGAGGACTTATGTAAGATATAAATATGTGTCATAAGTTGATTAGGCAACCAGAAAAATTTTTAGCTATGACTTTCCTTTATAGGCTATCAGCAAAATAATTTGAATTTTCTGCAAAGCTATTATCTAACAAGATTCCTTATTTGGTAAGGTAGTCTTCATCTCTGGCAATCAACTAGATCTTACTAATCCTGTTAGGTTGACTCATTTACCAATCCCTATTTTATTTTTGCTGCTACCATGTTATAGCTGTTAAGGGAGTGAGGAAGAACCACCTGAGAGCTCTGAAAAGAGGGATGGGGTGGTCCTGTCTAATGTCACACCTGTTAGAGTTAAAATTTGAAATAATACCTTAACAAGTCTCTAAGTCTGTTTTCTTTTCTACTATACCATGTCTTATTTGCTCATAGCACCAGGACTGTATTATAAATTGCTACCCACCAATTTCCATTTAAATTCACAGAATAAAATGGTCTTCATTTTTCTGCCCATAAGCTAACTGCCAAGCAAGCACAGAAAAAAAGTGGCGCCCTAACGGGTTTGGCTCATTGGATAGAGCGTCAGCCTGCGGACTCAAGGGTCCCAGGTTCGATTCCGGTCAAGGGCATGTACCTTAGTTGCGGGCACATCCCCAGTAGGGAGTGTGCAGGAGGCGGCTGATCGATGTTTCTCTTTCATCGATGTTTCTAACTCTCTATCCCTCTCCCTTCCTCTCTGTAAAAAATCAATAAAATATATTTTTTTAAAAAGAAAAGAAAAAAAGTGGCACTCCACAGCATGTATTCAAGAAGCTCACATGTCTAGAAAAAAGTAAGTCCTGTATCTTGTGGATCTTACCATAATTTACTAAGTGCCAATTGTGTGCACAGAACAGGCTAGATACCACTCTTAATACAACTAATAGAACATGTCCTTCCCCTCAGAAAGTTCATAACAAGAACAACAAAAAAACAAAATAAGGCATACTGAGTAATGCATAAAGATATAGTGCTATGAAACTATGGGGAAGAAAAAGACAAGGTAATTCTGACTTAAGGAGCATGAAGAGACCACTTGGGCCAGGGGATGGAGGTGTAGACCTTAAAGAGCTTTGAGTTGAACCTTAGAGGGTCTTGGAGGAATGATACAAAAGTGGAAGAACATTCTAGACAGGAAGAACATCTTTTACAAAAAGCTTGGAAATAGGAAAGAAAATGATGTAGTATAAATAGGTTAACTGAAGAAATTAAGTGTGAAGTCAACTATGGCGGTTTTTAAAAACTTCAGGCTATACAGTCTGATTGAACCACCACTGAAAGCTCCTGAAAAGGGGAAATCATGATGAGACATGATTTTAAATAGACATTAAAACTTGAGAGATGAAGTTCTGTTTTATGAAGTGAGGTGGACAATAAATTCTTCTTCCCCCAAATCAACTATAAAAATGGACAAAACTTCCTCTATGCTGATGAGTCAATGTGTTAGCCAAGGAGTGCATTTACACTGCAGGCCACCAGCTCTTTCCGCTGGCCTCTCTCTGTCTCCTCTGTGTATGCACAGGCTCTGTTGGCCAGAGTGGAAGGAAGCCTTACTGGCTAGCAGTGTTTGCACACAAATTCTTTGTCTGAACAAACAACAATGTTAGACTGAGCATTAAGGTATGCAAGCACAGGGGTGACCCTTAGAAAAAAGTCAAGCATAAAAATAAAAACAAGAAAAAGCAACAACAACAGACATCAAGGGCCACATGAAGTCTTAGTCCAGCTATAAAATGTGTATGGTATACACTAAGCACTACTTGGGGATTCTCAACGGCAAAAGGGAGGAGGAGAATTGGGAAAGAAGACCAGAATTCAATATATCACCAAACCCTGGGTAAATTTATCATTTTCCCCTCCAGTATCACTGAGCCAACCCAGAAATGCACACCAAGGCACAGAGATAGATCCTCTAGTTCAGGCTCAAGGAAGGAGAAAGGGAACTTCTAACACTGAGAGGAAATATGAAAATCCCTCCAATTTATTATTTTTAACCTCTTCTCCTGAGCTACAGCACCCAAGCAACCACATACAGCAATGCCTGAAAAGACAGATTGCAGAAACCAAACTCTGAGGAAGGGGAATTATCAATTTTCTCTACTCTCTATCCTCCCATTTCTTAGCCCCAACTGTGAGACAGTCATGGAAGTACAGTGTATATGACAGAGTAGCATAACTAACTCCACTGTTTTCTGGCCAGAAAAGATGAGAACCTAGGAACCAAAAAACATATAGGAGAACACACTGACAAGAACTCAAGAAAGCAACCTGAAAATGTTTGTGAACTCCTGGGCTCACCCACCCCTAGCTGTGTATAATGGATCTGATGCTATTCAGGACAAAAGACTAAAATTCAAACTAACAGAGACACTGCACAAGTTTCAAACTGGCACATACGTGAAACAGATCAAAATAGTACTGTAAAGGCTTTGAAAATTGAACCGACATTGGAATCACAGAAGGTGGGTTAGAACTTGCAGCCCGAACTGGACAACAAAACTAAAAAATTTTGCTCTGCAAATGATACTATTAAGAAAATGAAAAGACAAACTACAGACTGGGAGAAAATACATGCAATCACAAATTTAATAAATGACCAGATTTAAAAATGCTCAAAAATCAACACTAAGAAAAACCACCCAATTACAAAATGGGTGAAAGACTTGAAGAGAGTGATCTAAAGAAAACATACATGCTGGGAGACAATTCTCACAGTTTCGTCCAAGAGGTCTTTGCAAGCATCCTTGAATATCTTAACATTCTTAAAAGAAACACATAATTATCTCCCCGACTCATTCCCACCCCAGCAGAGGACAAGTTTGTGTACTGTCCAGTAAAATAGATACAATGTTTCCCTCCAGGTCAAAGGTCAGGCAGGTCTGTTTGCTGCCTGTTGTAAAAGATTTGGGTTCCCTAAGCTTGGATTCCTCAGCTGTGGCATCACCCCTATGCGACTTGGGAGTAAAGGTAGCCCAAGTGAAGATAAAGCTTGTTTTATAAACGCCCTTTGAACAGTAAAGTACTTTGTCTCTGACTCAGGATCTCATGTCTTCTGCCAGCATGCATGAAACTGTGGCAGGCTCACTTGTTACCTGTATGCAGGGTAAAAACTCAGGTCCTTCACAGTTCTTAACAACATGGCAAATAAGCACATGTTGTTCAACATCATCATCCAGTAGAGAAATGTAAATTAAAACCACCATGAGATATCACTACACATTTATTAGAATGGCTGAAATTAAAAATACCTGGGGTAGCAAGGATGCAGAGCAACTAAACACTCATACATTCCTAGTGGAATGCAAATAGTATAGCCACCATGAAAAGCAGCCTGATAGTTTTAAAAAAAGCTAAACGTATTCTTACCATACAACTCAGCAATCCCACTTCTAGTTATTTCCTCCAGAGAAATAAAACTGATGTTCACTCAAAAATCCATACACAAATATTTCCAGTAGCATTACTCAGGACCATTAAAAAAAGGAGACAACCAAAATATCCTTCAATCAGTGAATGGATAAACAAACTGTGGTACATCCATGCAACGGATGCTTCTCAGCAAACAAAACAAAAAAAGGAGGGGGGGCAGTACTGACATAGCCAAAAATTGGCTTAATGATGAGTGAATGAAGCCAGTTTTAAAAGTTTACACATTGTATGATCAGTGTTTGTTAGGAATTAGAATTAGGGGGAAGGTGTCTTTCAAAAAAAAAAAAAATAGCACAATCCAGCAATCCCACTTCTGGGACTATATCCTAAGAATCCCTAAATACCAATGAGAAAGAAAGAATATATGCACCCCTATGTTCATAGCACCATTATTTACAATTAGAGGCCCGGTGCACAAAATTCGTGCATTGGAAGGGGAGGCGGGGGGTCCCTCAGCCAGGCCTGTGCCCTCTCACAGTCTAGGACCCCTGGCTCCTTACTACCCACCTGCTTGATGTCCTTTAGTGCTGCCGCAGAGGTGGGAGAGGCTCCCGCCACCACCGCTGCGCTCACCAGCCGTGAGCCTGGCTTCTGGCTGAGCGGTGCTTCC